AAACTGATTAACCAGCTCTTACTTGTTCTGTATTTGCAGCAAAAATTACTCTTAATCATTTTAGCATGTGTAGTAATCTCATTTTCATATTATCTTTCCTTTTCCAGTTACTTATGAATCTTAATAATGCTCAACTTGTACCACTGCAGCTTCAGGTACTCCACCTAAATAATTACTTTAAGGAGAACATTTTTCTGCTGCTCATTTATGATGGTATTTTGTATGAAAACAAAATATTTCTTGATTCCATTTCTGAAATCTCCAATTTTAAAGTTACAAATTTGTCTCATATATTCTAATGACCATTTGTTTGAAGATTAAAGCACAAACTATAATTTGATTTACATTTATTTGTTGAGAACTTGGTATATGCCAGGCACTAATTCTCCCAACTATACGAAAGTAAATTAACTATTTTACACAAAGTCATATCCAGCTAACCAGTGGGATGTGTGGGGACACACAGGTTTGAAACCAGTCTGACAAACACAGACATTGTGCTCTTTTATCAGTTTCATTCTGCCCCATATTTCTCATGACACTTGGGACTTTGGTATTGTTTCATATTATTTATGTGGCTTATAATGAGTCAAAGATGCTATTTTTATAATGCAATGCTGGAAACATAGAAATTGTTTACATTTTCTCTCTTTCCTGCTCAAAACTGATTTGAAATTCTCTTTGGCATAAAAGACAAACGGTTTCTTTCTTTCTTTTATGTCCTTCCAGGGCCCATTTAACTCATGGATTCCTCCTTTCTCTGGGATTCTACAGCAGCAGCAACAGGCTCAAATTCCAGAATTCTCCCAGTTGTATTTATCAACTCTAGACCGGTTTGCTAGACTGTTCCCCAATCAGGTACCTTTCCCAGGACAGGTCAGTTTTGTCCAAGGAGCCCAGGCAGACCAGCTGGACCCTTCCCAGCCTCAAACAGCACCACCAACACAACAAGGCCCTAATCAGGTAAGTGAGGCTTCTTTCATCTGGTCCTACAGAGAGAGAACCACATACTGAATGTAAAAATAAATAGGAATCATCTTTGAAATAGCAGTTTTTGAGTAAGAATTTTTTTTCTCAAAATATGTTTCTGCCATCACTGAAAGTATTATACTTCCTTATATTTTCTGATTTCTAACACGAAAAATGCCATTTAAATCAGCTGTTCTAGGATACAGCCACAAACTGAAGGAGTTAAAACAAGTCTGGGACAAGATAATTAGGGAAATTTCATCTTTAAATAAGGCAATTTGTGCTAATGATGGTGCATATGACAGAGGACATTTTGTTATGGAAGCCTGATAATACAAATGATACATTTATAGAATAAGTTCTTGGAAAGCAGCTCTGGAATTTTAAATAACAAAGTATAACTTTTTTATATGATTCTTTTTTTGACAGGTGGTACCTTATGTATTCTCCTTCAAAATGCCTCCAGAGCAAGCACAGGTAAATGACCGGAATCCCACTGCTCACAAACAGTTGGCTGCATACACTCTCCAGAATGATTTCTTTCCTATTTCTGGCTCTAACTCCCAGAGCAGGGCTACAAAATCCAAACAATGCTATCACTGTCTAGATAACATTATTTCTGGGCTGGCGTCAGTTTGTTGATGTTGGGCTCACTTAGCAGCTCCTTAAGAACAGGCAGCTAAGGAGTCTCTCCAGGACCCCTGAATTTTCAGGGTGTTGCTATGTTGGAAGTAAAGGAGCTCATTAAGGCCCAGGTCATGTCTTCTCTGAATCCAAAGCACTGGCACTTAGGAACAATTCAAGACAAATACCATGGGCTGACTTTACCCAATCCTAAATTTTGTTTCAGAGGGAGATGCGTTGAACTGATAATATGTGCTGTAGAGATAAGAAACACGTCCCCACATCAACGGGCGGTTATGAAGTTCTGCTCAAAACCTTTCCAGTTCCTTGTTTATTTCTGATTTAACTCCATGTTACAATTAAATGATGGTAATTTCCATTAAGTAAGAGAATCTTTAAGAAATGCAAACTAACAGAATCATTATATTGATATGAAAACGCCTATCAATGTTAAGATAATTAATTTTATAATATCCTGGGTTCAAAGAAACAGGGCTGTAGATAAATTATATTGTTCTTCAGCAGAGCATTGACCTTTTTTACAAAAAGTTACACCACTTGGCTCTACTATAATTATATAATTTTGTTCTACTCCTATTACAAAAGTTACTTCTAGACATTATCTCATCCTATAACATAAGCATTTAGAGAATTA